AGAGAGTTTAAGTTCTGTCTGTGTTCTTTTAAACTTACAATTCAATAACATTGTGTTTGACGTTTAATCTTCTGTACCTCCCATATAGAAAAGAATAGCATGATGAAGTACCATGAAGTACCACCTCTCAAAGATTATGTAAATGATATTATAAAAAAGCAGATATTTGAACCACACTTATGAAGATTAACCGAACAAGGTATAGTTTTGAGACGATGGTGTGACTGAGGGGTAGTGATGCGTTTTATGATACACAGTATGTTTATGTATGTATGATAGAGCAAAATACACACACCAACGAGTTTTCACATTCTGTACATGGTTAAAGTTATGTACGTGTACGCATATATAGGCTTTTTACCATCATATTTTCATATTCATTAAATAAAACAGCGATAAATGATTAAAATACTTGTTCATAGATTTGATTTGTTTTTATCAGCATTGTTATTGCGCAGTCTTTAACAGGAGCGAGGTGTATGAGGAGTGTCTTTCTGGCGTGAGATTTTGTCCCCCGACAACCCAAAGACAATTAAAAACAGGACCAACCTACTAAGTCATCATTTGCTTGAATGGAGATTTGATAGGGTAATCTGTGCATTTTTAAAATTTACATTTCGACAACAATTGCTTGATTATTAATCTCTTGTATCTCAAATCTCGAAAACTATAGCTCAAGATATTGTGTTTCAAAAATGATGTCATATTACATTTATATTGATAGTCGTAGCAGGTACTTTCACCTTAACATAGAGCATTATAAGAAATGTATTCTTACCAATGGGCGAACACACATTTAGCATCACGTCAAGATTTCAACATAGCGCATTATTTTCCTTCTTGAAAAAAACCAGATCAACTTTACAAATTCTAGTTACAGACAATATATTAGGGTAGTGGAGACCGAACTTTCTGTGTAAATAATGAGGAAGAATAGTTAAAGTCTGATATACAAAAATGTGATATAATAATGGCGTAATTGTAAGGTGTTTGTTTCGTGATTCACATTGAGATACAGCCGTGTATGTACATGCCTACATCATAAGGGAATTGTATTTTGTACTGGTTGCAGAGATATCTAGCATTGAATACTTATGAATATCATGTAATTATTATATGACTTCATCACGAAAGATGTTTACTCGACTCATTTAGGAAATCTCGGTAAATCAATAGAGTACCGTGAAATGAATACATGTACGTGTTGAAAATTTATACTGGTTAATAAGCGTACAATTAATAATAATGAAAGTATCGTTAATGTAGTTCGTCTATAATGGAGATACAAGATGAGTTTATGTAATATATGTATACGGTCATATTTACGTAAAAAACACATTTTACACATATATGCAATAATTACACATTTTTGTTGACGCTGATTTTTTAATGATATTGTATTGATCAACTTAAGGAATTCTAATTGCAGACAATATATATGGAGATGGAGGATTGAACTTCATGTAAACTTAATATGGAAGAACATTGAACGTGATAAAAAGTATATAATTTTACGGACGTTTTCCCAAATATAAATAAGATTACATAAGATCACTTTTGAATAAAATACACCTCTNCATTTTTTATTTTTCCCGGCTCATAACTACATACAAAACGGAGAGTACAGAATATCCGGATCTGAGTTAATTATAATTTTTGAGATGGACTGGACAATATATCCGGAATTTTACATTATTGTAAGAATGTAATTTTATTTAAATGTAATTGATTCAGATTAAGCTATTAATGCATTTTCCATGTCAGATAACAAGAATACAACAACTGAGAGAAAGGTATATTTGTGTATAAATAAAATTTTGTACATATATCTCCTCCAACAAAACAACGCAAGGTGCAAATATCTTTGTGAAAACCCTGTGCCATATTTCGTGTCTTCATTAAATCCTATATGAAGGCTTAAACATTACCCTCTATAATCGTTATCAAAAGAACTGCTTCTCAGGTAGACTGACTTAAAATAATTATCACACGTCACCAATTATATCAGGACAATAGTGATCACGGTTTTACGAAGGATATTACAAGACCAGATATACGCATATAAAAGCTAAGTACCGCCATTGCTTGTAGGTGTATTACTACAAATATTACGCGATAACGACTGGAGTGTTTAGATTTATTATTTAGTAGCATTCACATAGAGCAGTCTGAAGACTGTACCAGGAGCTAGGTGCGTGTACCGTACACCGCTCAGACATGGAGCTTTGTAACACTCAACATGCCAAGTTTACAATGTCTGCATGTCATTGTTGGCTTTATCTGTGCAGGTTTAGATTTTGCATTTCTACAAGAATTTCATGACTATTAATCTTCTGCGCCTCATATTTGAAAACCATAGTTTGACTAGATATTTGTCTCTCGACACGCCTGCTATAGAACATTTATGTTGAAAGTCGTAGCTGGTATTTAAATCACACAAATCTAGAGTAACATATGAAAGTTACTCTCACCACTCGGCGAACACATATTTATTGTTTTGAGACCATATATTTTTTTATGATACCTTACCCAACATGTTCAAATCCTAATGCATATGATATTTTGTCAATCAATTTCAGTTGTCTAATCAATGTGTTATCTGACCAGCAGATCAAACTCCACAACTTATATTATAGTATCAATTATCAGTAACAAATACGTAACTTTGTAAAAGAAAACAATACCAGTTGTCTAATAAATGTGATATCTGACCGGCAGATAAAAAAAGAAAAAAAAAGATAATACCGAAATGTCAACATAACCATATTTCAAACTAAAATCGATAAAAATAGGGCAGAATATTAAAGGAAATATTTACATGAAAAACTACGAGTAGAACAAGACCAGGTGTTCCGGAAAGGTAAGCGTCCTCTGTTTCATCGATGGCACCAGCCATGTAAATCTAAGTCGAATCAAATCAATGTCACGACCTCACATCGCGAACTCGGGAGTGACAACAAACCCACAATGCACTCTAATGAGCATAATAAAAAACATCGACCTTATATCACAGACAGAAATAGCATATTTCCTGCAACATCATGATGGCGACCATAAATCTTGTCCATTTGATTCATTAACCTGCATCTTTGGAAACCCTGTGTTATATGTGTGTCCGTCCGTCAGCAGTCGACAACAATCACGGAAGTAACAAGCGACATGTAAGCAACGTAGGTAGGGGAAGCAGGAAAATCTTCACATCTAATTTTAAAGTATTAACAATATATAACTTTGTATACAACAAATCAGCTAATTTTATTTATGTATTTTTTATCTTTGGGTGACAGGAGGCGAGGCGCAGTCCATTACATTTCTATAGTGCTGGACAAAGGGGGAGATAGAAAGGTCAGTCATCGACTATTCTGCCATGGTAAAATCGTTTCATGCAAATGAGTGGTAAATTCAACAGTAAGATCCAGTAGATCAATAACGAATTTACACGTCTGCTAACATCACAAGGTAGGGCCAGGCACTATTGCATACTGTATAAGAATTATCAGGGTGTTGTTCAAAATTCGGATAAAATAAATTGAAAATAACGCTAGAACATCTTTTGAAAAATCACCTAAAATTCTGTTCGTGTGCAAGACTCTCTAAAGAACCTCACCAAGTTGAGGAAGACAAGAAAATGTCTAAATTAGCTATTATCAATGAAAATGGAAACCCGACTGTCTCAGTGGAATAGCATGGTTATTTTTTTATTTTTTTTTTATAAAATCACCATCTCGATTCTCATATACTTCTTATTATGACCGAAGCAATAAGAAAATCGACCAACATAACTGCATTTTTCATCCAAACAACAAAACAATTCGAATTGTAAACAAAATAAAAACATCATTTCCTTCCAATATGATTGCCATAGTAATGGTATTCAAATAAACTAGCGCAATTTAGATATTCAGTCAATTTAGCATGAATACTCTTTGTAGTGCACACGCAGCAAACAATATATTTAATTTAGTTCAATACCATGGTAACTCTAGTTTAATTCCAGTGCACAACGATGTAAACTCCAGTGCACTACAGTGTTTATCAAAGTTTGACTGACTGAAGTACATGCATTGATTCCAATAATTTAATATGAAATGTATCTCTTTCTCGGGGATTCCCTGAGTTTATTTATTTGCATTTTCTTAATAAAAAATATAAATAAATAATTATGTTGCTCATAGTAAGTGGATATTTTTCTAGTAAATTGTTTTGGAAAATTATACAGAACTTAATCAAATAAATAATCGTTTTAATGGCATATCCTCTCTTATTAATAACCATGCAAGCAGTGATGTATAGTCAGGTGAATTAGAAATGTATGCGAGGTACAGCTTCTTAACACTATATCTACGGTAATGAACATATTCTACGTGTACCATGTAACCTTATATTCTCGCCAGTAACAGTAAGGAATTCGACACAGTCCTTGGATTGACGGGACACACCCGAAGGCTTGTTGGTGGGCGATCTGTATTACAGGTTCCGCCATGATTTACAAAAAGTATAAATCTTGGCCCATATCCTTTAATAAATACCCACAATAAAGCAGTATTTGGTTGTACAATTTTAGTTTAAACATTGTTTCACACACAACACAACAGAAATCGATGTCAGGCCACAACAGAAATTGATGTGTTATGCCGATTTGCCGTGCTCTTACGCAGGACCATTCGGAACACCTCACCCTAAAAACAGTACATCTAAGATGAGATAATCGGCCGAGGTGTTCCGAAGAAGACATATAGACATAGACTGACGTCAGTTGCGTCCCTAACGACCTAACTTAGACGGACTAAACAAGAAATACGTTGATATTTTTGGTGCAATTAAAATTTACTAGAGAATAGATTGATTGGGAATGTATACAGAAGTTAATCAAATTAACAATCATTTCATGCCATATCCTCTCTTCTTAATAACCAAGCAGTGATATACAAGTCAGGTGAATTGTATAACATGACATTTAATTACCTTGCACAGACAATTAATACGATGTCAGTACTTACCTATAGACTACGTGGTGACTTCTTGTAAAGTTTTACAATGATGGACTAGCCATTCATCCACAGGAAGGGTGTCTATTTTACCAATAGACTATACGTGGTTACTTCTTATAAATTTTTACACTGATAGACTAGCCATTAGCCATATATCCTCAGAATGGGTGTCTGTGTTACCCGTAGTCTACGTGGTGACTTCTTATAAAGTTGTACACTGACAAACTATCCGTATATCCTCAGAATAAATGTATATTTTACCAAACTAACTACGTGGTGACTTTTTATAAAGTTTTACATAGACTAGCCGGATTTCCTCAGAATGAGTGTCTATTTTTGTTTACCAGTAGACTACGTGATGGTGACTTCATATAAAGTTTTACACCGATACACTAGCCATATATCCTCAGAACATCCAAATTGTTATTTATAAACTAGAAGTCTCTCCTTCCAAGGAGAATCCTCAATATTGAGATGATACCACGGACCTCTCTGATACTCCCCACAATCTTATGAACAAAGTGACGCTATTTCAGAAATCTAAGCATATTTGTAATCACACTATGACGTGATGGAAATTTACTGTGAAGGTCTTTAATAAAACAGCCAATGACACAAGTGTAAAACATCACATGACATAATTGGGGTCCTTTTAAGTCCGGTTTTTACATCGATGCTATCAATTACACACAATACCAAGAAGCATATAAATAGAACCAACTCAGGTATATTTGTTAAATCGGTTACATGACAAAAATCACTCGATAAAGTTGTTAGCTTTTTATCAAAGATTCATTACAGGTCGGTAGGTCTAGTTTTTGCATGGTAATTTTGACAATACAGTTCATGATATTTCGAGCAAACAGTCCGCTCACCTGTCTATTGTTCTAACGTCACCAGCTTAAAGAGGGTAACTCGGTCTCCGATCAAGTTACAATGTCTGAATGTGTGTGTGTTGTATATTGTGGGGTTACTCGCTATTACGTTATATATATGTGTAAGTTTTAAATCACAATTGGAACGGACAGATCTTCAGAAGATAAATAGAGAGTTATCAATATCCTCTATCAGGAAGTAATGGTGCCCTCGGATCAGAATTACTTTGTTAGCATTAGTATTGCTTATCGATCTTGGTTTAACGTACACAAATGTCTATTTGTATGTTAATGTCAATGCAATTGTTACTGACATACATAGAAATAAGTATAGGACGTTAATTAAAGGTAATAAGCGACGTACTACATTGGCATACACAGACAGGCAGCCTGTTGTTTTCTTCTCAATTTTAAATTGATAGCCATGTGTATCATTCATGTTGTCATTTGCCTCTGTTGACAAAACAGCAATGATCACTTAGGCAAGCGCAAACGCAACCTACACAATAACGTTGTATTAGCTGTTATATTAGAAAATTTTCAAATTCGATATTTGTGGACAAAAGCTTTAGATCTAATATCTTATATATCATGACAAGTTGGAAGTAAATACTAGTGTGTTTCATATTATTGTCAGTGCGATGCCACGAATTTGTATAAGAACAAGAGGCCCAATGGGCCTGAATCGCTCACCTGGTATTAATCTCACAATTGTAATCTTAAAAGTGGACTAAATTACAACTACCGGCAGAATATCAGTAATTGATTCATAAGAATATTAAAAGATTTAAACACATTTATGACGCCTGTGACCTTGAATGTCGAACAAGAACCTTAGGTTGAACAGAGTGTATAGTCTTCCAACCGAGCATGCTTCTAGCAAAATATCATTACCTTGTACCTTTTGGTTATACAGAACAAATCATTTAAAGATTTAAACGAATATTGATCACTGTGACCTTGAATATGGGCGAAGGTTATTAATTTGAACAAACTTGGTAGTCCTTCATCCCAGCAGATTAATGGCCAAATATCATCACCCTTGGCCTTTTGATTATTAAGGAGTCATTCAAAGGTTTTACTCATATTTTATCCCTGTGACTTTGAATATATGTCAAGGTCATTCATTTGAACAAACTTGTTAGCCGTTCTTGCGAGCATGTTACTGGCCAAATTTAAGCACACTAGGCCTTTGGGTTATTCATAAGAAGTTGTTAAAATGTTTTAAACATATTTGATCCTGTGACCTTGAATATAAGTCAAGATCATTTATTTGAGCAAACTTGGTAGCCCTACATGCCAGCATGCTACTGGCCAAATATCGTCACCCTAGGTCTCTTGGTTATTCAGGGGAATTTGTTTAATTTGTTTTACATATTTGACCCCTGTGACCTTGAATATATGTCAAGGTCATTCATTTGAACAAACTTGTTAGCCGTTCTTGCGAGCATGTTACTGGCCAAATTTAAGCACACTAGGCCTTTGGGTTATTCATAAGAAGTTGTTAAAATGTTTTAAACATATTTGATCCTGTGACCTTGAATATAAGTCAAGATCATTTATTTGAGCAAACTTGGTAGCCCTACAAGCCAGCATGCTACTGGCCAAATATCATCACCCTAGGTCTCTTGGTTATTCAGAGGAATTTGTTTAAATTTTTTACATATTTGACCCCTGTGACCTTGAATATTATTCAAGGGTTAATTATTTGAACAAACTTGGTAGCCCTTCATTTCAGCATGTTACTGGCCAAATATCATCACCCCAGGCCTCTCGGTTATTTAGAAGAAGTCGTTTTAAGGTTTTAAACATAGTTAACCCCTGTGGCCTCGAATATAAATCAAGGTCATTTATTTGAACAAACTTGGAAGCCCTTCATTTCAGCATGTTACTGGCCAACTAGCATTTCCCTAAGCCTCTTAGTTATTCAGAAGAAGTTGTTTAAAGATTTTAACATATTTGACCCCTGTGAACTTGAAAATGGATGAAGGTCATTTAGTTGAACAAACTTGGTAGCCCTTCATGCCAGCATACTTCTGGCCAAATATCATTACCCTAAGCCTTTTGGTTACTGAGAAGAAGTTGTTCAAAGTAAAAAGTTGACGCCAGACGGACGACGGACGACGGACGACGGACGCCGCACAAATTCATTCGGGCCAGGTGAGCTAAAAACGAACAATAACGTTGGACCAACTTTTGCAAAATCACATAAAAATTGAATGCTATTAACACACACAGGTGACTGTACCTTTAACGTTTGGTATTAGATACACTATGTCATTATTATACAGCTGCTTCTAGGACTAATCGGTGATGCTAGAGGCTAGAATGCTGGAAATCAGAATTGGTATAAACTATTGTTGAAAATGACGGAGAGGTGTGTTAAAGTCTGTTCGTGTACAAGCATCCCTCAAAACCCTCAATAAATTGAAGAACATTTGGCAAAATAAATTGCACTTTCATCCAAACATTAAAAGGATTGAATCGTAAGCAAAAGGAAAACACATCAGTACATAGCATAACGTAACTTACGCATTATACAAGCTTGCTAACTCTGTTCCAATGACTATTTCCTGCATGAAATTGTATAGCAGTTATAACATTTATGCTTCATTTTGTTTGCCAATTAAGAAATGGAGTGGTACAACTGAACATTTGGAGTGAACTATGAAAAAGAAAAAGCAAGAAAACTGATTGTTCAGACGACAACACGTGTACATTAAAAAAATGAAATATTATTTTTCACGATATGTCCCTTTGAAAAAAGGTAAATTTCCTCAAGAGGTGTTGTCATTAGATTACAGTTGTTATATTAAGTTTTGTTTAATAGTTAAGAATGGATTTATTTCATAGTGTATGAAACATTGTTCTGAAGTTCAGATTTATTTTACATTTAAGCTTCGCAAAATTAACTTTGTTATTGGTAGGTAGGTGTACAGTGTACACATCAGGAATTTTGCTGAAAATATAGAATATATACGTCCCAAAATTTAATAAGAAAACTTAAAAATTATATAGGATCATCTTTTTTGAAATTCACTTTAAAAAGCATACATATTCTCATATCCCTCTAACAAACCCGAAAACTTAATGGACACTATTACGCTCAAATAGAGAATTGCAAATACACGATAATTTATTCAAGGTGGAGTGGTAGTTGTCTTTAAAGGGGATTGTATGCACAGCTAAAAAATTATGTATATGCAGATATATTTCTACTGCTAAGTAGGTGTGCAGTTAATACACCACTAGACACGTTTATACGGGTGGGACAGAGTTAAATGTGTATGTGTTTTGACATTTATACCGGTAAGCATGTATGTGCAAGGTCGTGTGTACTGGTAGTAGTAGGTGAATTTCAGAAGATGGCAGAAAAATAGAACTTTGTAAGGTTACTTAATTTCGGTGAACCTGTTTCAGAGCTGTTATTTTATACACCTAACTGTTTCAATGCACAACGGTTTATTGGATGTTAAGAAGATTTGAGAGATTAAAGAAAATAATTACTTATATATTTGCAAACAAAAAACAGACACAATATACTTGAAATGAAGGTTGCATGATTGATTGACATAGAAAAATAGCTCTCCTAAATTTATTTAACACAGCATTTTGCATCTGAAAGAATTGCAATTTCATTTTTAAGTATTTAGGCATTTAATTACGTAGCCCTATTTATCATCTTTAAGGATTTTCATATTGTCTCTCCGTCATGTGGGGGCACTTCTCAACACCGAACATGAACTTGATTCTTTCACAGAGGGTTGCATCCCCCCTTCACCCCACCAAGAGGGGGAATGAGTATTGTCCTCTTATCTTGTTTATCATGTCATATATGCAAAAGGGCTGTATTGCTCAACTGGATCTTTATGCCCAGCGTTATGGGGTGGGGTTATCAACCATTTCAAACTTATGACCCAATATTTAGGACTCTTAGGGTAGAGCCAGACCTCAGGATCAATCTTAATATCATAATTGTGTTCGTGTTTTGATGCCCAGTAATGGTATATATGGTTTTGGCTGGGGATTTCAACCGTTTCAAAGTCATGACTCAGGAATTAACTCCCTAGGGTGAGGCAAGACCCTAGTGTCAATTCTTATATCATGATTGTGTTTGTCTCTTGATTTTCAGCAATTGTATACATGGTTATAAAGTAAGGAACTTGATAATGTCAAAGTGAAAAATACTTTTTGACCCCGCCCCTAATATCTGGGGTTCAGCCCTAACACCGGTACAAGTTTGAATCCTCATCATCTAAGCATGCTTCCAACAAAATATTACTGATATCCTTGTCTTAGTTTCAGAAAAGAAGTCGCCTACAGTAATATGGCCAAATCAGGCCCTTCATTTGTACACACATGTAACCATCTGTCACAACAAATCAAAACGTAAAGTCAGAAATTATGTGTTTATAAGTATTGGGACTGTACTGTCGTTAGCAATGTATGAAAATTGCACTTTCACCTTGAAATAATGTAACATAACATTTCAAATCAACATTTCTAGTATCCACCGTATTAAAATCATGTTTTTATTTTTTACTTTGATATCATCTTAGCATCTGGTTTCCAGACAACAACACAGTTTTAGAACTTCATATTATTACACCAAAACAACAGAACAATCACTGTACATCATTTTTATATTTTCTCCTATATCTGCTACAAAGTATTTTACATAGGATCTTGATTGTCATAGGATACATTAAAGTATATCTATTTATGTTTACTTTGCTGAATATAAATTACTGTATTTGGTTTAAACAAGGGTATCAGTGGAACTGATGTACGCTCCCCAAAAACAACTTTAT